TACGACAGATTATTTATTTTAATCACGAGTGATTTATCACGAGTGATGTTTATGACAATCTTATTGATGTATTTGTCGTTTCACTAGCCTCTGATTTTGACTGTTGTATTTGTCGCTTCACCAGCCTCTGTTGTACTTGTTACAGTATCTGTAATAATGAATGTTTTATTTTAGGATTTCAAAATGAGTGAGTTTGTCCTCGTTCTGGTTCTGGATCTGGTTGGTCTTATTTTAACTCATAAAAAATAATTTAAAACGAGTTAATTCATTGTAATTACGACAGATTATTTATTTTAATCACGAGTGATTTATCACGAGTTTTCCATCAACCTATATTTTTACTACTTGATTGATTTTTTTTTAATCACGAGTGATTTATCACACTGGAGAGAAATCTCCATGAAATAGAGCTACACTCTATCTAAATATTAAAACATAAAACTATAAAACCCCAACATAAAAATTCCAATAGCTCATTTTTCGAATAATTACTCGATCTAGTCTTTTTTAATTTTTTTATAATATGTAGTAAAAATATAATATAAATTAATCAAAAATTCAAATTATATAAAATACAAAAAATAACATCAATGACTAAATTTAAATAAAAATGGATTACATATACTACGATATGTGTGATTTTAATAAGAGAGTACCGAAGAAATTTGTTAAATACTTGAATTTAGTTTTATAAAAATAATCCATGAGATTCACATGCGAAAATGTATTGAATTAGCAGTAACCACACAGCAAAAATTTATTAGTCTCAGATCTAAAAAAAAAATAATAATAAAAAGTTAAAAGCGCACGTGAAGGTCCGTGAATCTAACTAAATACATTTATATAAAAATAATTCATGGGATTCACTATATGCAAAAATGTATTGAATTAGCACAGCAAAAATTTATTAGTCTCAGATTAAAAAAAAAAAAAAAAAAAAGTTAAAAGCACACGTGAAGGTCCGTGAATCTAACTAGATACATTTATAATCACTATTTTAAAAATTAAATCATATTAAAAATTTATTTGTGAATGAATAATTTGTTTGAACACATATAAATCGAAAACACAGAAACGATAATATAATCAGGAAAAGAAAAAGAGATAAAAGGAAAATAGAAGAGCAGACAGATATTTATACTGGTTCAGGTATAGTCAACCCTACATTAAGTTCCTAGTCAACTCTTAACACAAGAGTGACTCTCAATTCATTATCTTTCAAATTCAGTTTACAAATTACAATCAATTCAGCAGAAGAACAAGTAAAAAGTAAACTAATTAAAAAGACAATCATCTCCTTAGAAACTAACTAAGGATAAACACTTTCCTAGAATCTCACTAGGGATGAACACCTCATCTGAATAAATCAAAGGATGAAAAACATTTTCTTAGAATCTCATTAAAGATGAACAACTCCTTAGAATCACACTAGGGATGAAAACCTCCTTCGAACAAATCAAAGGATGAAAACACCTCCTTAAAATCTCACTAAAGATGAACATCTCCCTAGAATCACACTAGGGATGAAAAGTACTTCCTTTGCCATCAATACACAAAGGATGAAGGTAATAAAAATAAGAACAGTCACACCTGGGTAATGGAGACAACAAATTGTAGAAGACTGTAGAAGTCAATATCCGAGAACAAGGCAGTAGAGAAGAGAGTTTTCTCAAAATTTGTAAAATATCTCTATTGTCTTGCTCATAATTCTTTTCTCAAAACTGATTGAATGTAAATTGTATTTTCGAATTCTGTAATTGTGTATTTTTTATTTTTCATCAAAACTTAATTAAATAGAAAAATAGCATCAGAAAATGGTCGTTGGACATTAATATTTTTGTGAATAAAAATCGGGATATATTCAAAAATATTTATTCTTCAAAACATATATATTTTTCAAATTTGAATTGTCATAATTGATTATGTTACCAGTATAATCAATTATAATAGAGAAAATCATTTTTTTCATTTCGATGTATCATAATTGATTATGACAGATGAAAAATATCACGTTATAAATTTATCACACTTGTTTTGGAGGCTTATGCATAGTATTACTTTATCAACTTGTACCTTCATATAATATTTTAAGACTCTATCTAGTCTTCAGGAATCATTTTAGGTTTGCTTGAATCATCATTTTTATCAAAAACTTATCTTAGACATGTAGGAAAATGTTTCACATTGTCACCAACGTCATAAATTCAGTTTGTTCTTAATTCATCTTGAATGGTGTTAACTTGAATCATCATCAAAATCATCTCTCGAAGAATATAGGGACATTTCCATCAATTTTCCCCTCATTACTTTCAAAAAATTGATGAAATTTTTAATCAAATTGATTTTAATAAAAAAATTATGATCAAAATTTTTTAATATAATTTTTTATAAAATATATAATATAATATTTTTTATTTTTTTATTTCATATTAGTTTTATCAAATTTAAATAATAATTATTTTACTGTATTTTTATTTTATTTTAATAATTATCCAATTTATATTTTCAAATATATTTTATATTTATAATTTTTATTTTAATATAAAAATAATATTTATTATTATTTTTTAAATTATTCATATTAATAAACTTAAATATATTTATTATATTATAAAAATATTATTTTATTCATAATTTCATACAACTAGTTTATTGTCATGTCCAATTTTAAAAATATTTCATATTATCAATGTAGTTATCATCAATAACTAATATTTAGACATGATGGGACAAAACAAGATGGGACGGATTTTGTCTCCTAACTTCTTTTTTCTTTTTTTATTCCTTGAAAATTAGAAATTAAATTTTTATTTTCCTTCCCGATATTTGTCATAGTTAAAAAATCAGTTTTTATTTCAGTCTCCACTTTGGATTTTCTTGTCTTATCCTGTTTTAGATCTAAATTATTTTTAAAAATAGAATTATATATATAATAAATTAATTTTTATATTTTTATATATTTTTATACATAAATAAATATTTATAATTTTATAATTTATGATTATTATTATTCATTAAATATATTTTTTAATTTATTATATTTATATTAAAATATTAAGTAAAAAAATTAATATTTTTTATATAGATTTAAAATACGTATTATAATAATAATAATAATATTATTATTATTATAAAGTATTCAAACATTTAAATATTTATATTATTATTATTATATTATATTCAAATATTTATCAAATTAATTTCTTTTTAAGTTTTCATGAAATATATAGTTTATAAAAAAATATTTAATAAGATTATTCTTATTTAATTAGTTGAAAGTAATAAATATTTAAATTATTACTTTTTTTAATTCTTTAAAATAAAATTATTTTATTAAGATAAAATTTGATATATGACATAAAATAATAAGATCGAGAAGATATGACATAATAAAATCTAATAAAGATAAATAATAAATAAAATAATATTAGTTATTATTGAGATTTACATAAAATATTTAGAAAAAGATAAAGATGAAGAAAAATTAATTTTGTGTTCATCAAATAATTTGAAAAGATTAAAAAAAAACAAATTGATTGGAAATATTAACAAAATGTAAAAAAACAAATTGATTGGAAAAATTAACAAAATGTTAAAAAAATGAAAATAAGAGAAAGAAAATAATATAATGAACTAATTAATATAAAAGATTAAAAAAAGATAAAAAAATTAAAAAATGGGTAAAAGAAAGTAAAAGTAGTAAAATATAAAAATAATGGTCTTATACGTAATAGAAAAAAAAGTAAATACTTTTAAAATATTAATATTTTAAAATTTAAATATAAAATCAAAATTGAGACGAGATCAAGATCGAGATAAGGGTGGGGTGAGATTGCATTACATATTTTCGTCCCTACTTTTTAAAGCAGTCGTTCCTACTTTTTAAAGCTGATAAACTCCTTGTCACACCTTTAATTAATTCGATTTTTTTATATCAAACTCAAAATTAAAAGCATAATTATATCAACTTTTACCACTTAACACCATTTTACAGCACAATCTAAAGAAAAATATCTCACAATAATTAGTTAATATTTTTAATAATGATCCTAAAATATTGCTAAGAGAAATCTTTCTTACTTAAGTAAAAGATCATTTGTGATCATTATTAGTAAAATAACTAGTTTTGGTTTATCAAGTGACAAGTTAATAAACATAATTTAATTTTGTATTCTAATACTTGTTATGATAATTTAAATCTTTAAGATATTTAAACAAATTTTAGTGTGTACAATATCATATAAATTAATATTTTATTTTTATTTTTATTTTTATACCAAGAATATGTGACCGTGTCCATAGTGAAAATAAATTGTTAAATTATTTGTTCAGTCCCTTTATTTCTTTAAGAATTCAATTGCACTCCTATATTTGAAAGGATTCAATTTGACTCCTTAATAATATAAATAAATAAATAATCCAATATTATTCTTTTTCATCTAAATCAAGTTAACACAAAAAACAAAATATTGATGTTTATGATAATGTTATTATTAAATGAAGGGGCACTTGTAGGTCAATTTATTTGGTTCTCCTCTGTCTGTCTATTGTTGATGTTTCAGATAATGTAATTATTGATGTTCTAATTTTGACCACACCATCTTAGCCACCTTCGTTTGTATTTATTACAATGTTTGTAACGTAATGATGTAAGTTTTTTTTAGTGTTGGTTCAAAGCTTGGGAGCCTATCTTTCTATGACTTGATTCGATCTTTTTCAAATTCCGAGTTATTTATCCTGTTCAATAATACACTGGAGACAAAGCTCAATGAAACAGAACCACACACTCTCCATTTTCCTAAGACAGTAAAGGAAAAAAAAAATCATAAAGCATAAAAATAATAATTATAATAATTAACAATCTACTACCCGAGATAATAATAATCACCATTCTTAACAAGGTGTGTTATAAAGGCACTTCTGGCCATAATATTTTGATTATACATCATTCATATTATAGTCCCTTATTTCCTTTCAAGTTACTAATTTATCATCATAGTTCACTTATTAATACATGTAGGGATCGATGCAGTTGCCACAAGAGGGAATTTTCTATGAATGGTTAACCCTGCCTTTTGAGTCATGTCCAGTGTCTGATCACCCACTACTCCACCAGGCACTTCCCAATCAAAATGGTGAATAAGCTTTGCTAGGACCAGCTCAATCACATTCATGGCAAATACTATTCCTGGACAACCCCTCCTTCCTGCTCCAAATGGTATCAATTCAAAATCATGTCCTTTCACATCTATTGAATTATTTAAGAATCTCTCTGGTTTGAACTCCAGAGGTTGCTCCCAATAACAACCATCTCTTCCAATTGTCCAAGCATTCACTATTACTTGTGTGCCCTTTGCAATGTCATAACCCATCACTTTCACATCTTCCATGGATTCCCTTGGAATCAACAAGGGTCCAGGGGGGTGTAATCTAAAAGTTTCTTTGATCACTGCCTTCAAGTAATGCATGCTGCTTAAATCTTCCTCAGTCACGCGAGTTCTGCCACTAACCACATTCCTTATCTCACCTTGGGTTGAATTATTGCCAAGCGTACCAAAATTATCAATTGCAGTATAGTATTTCAATTAAATAAAAGTCGATCCCATGAGGAACAGTTTCAATGAAATTCCCAATTATACTTACTAAGTAGATTAAATAGATTAGATTTTGCAAATAAGAGTTGAATTGAAATTAAATGACAAAGAACTGTATATTGTTCAGAAAATATCAATTAAAGACACCTAAGATTGGTTTTCTTCCTTATCCATCTTTTGTAATGACTATGTCAATTAAGAACGTCAATTAACCTAATAATGTTGATATCACCTACTCAAATCATCCATGTTGATTCCTCACACATGAAATTCATAAGAAAACCTAATAAATGTTGATTCCTCACACAATTAACAAATTTTTCAGCATTAGGTTTAAGGTGTTAAGCAATTGATACATTCATTCCATTCCTAGCAATTAACGTAAAAAATATTCTTATCGTGATCTAGGGTTCAAGATATATTTTTCAATCATACCTTAAACAATCAAGAATAAATCATTCCAAAGCATAAATGATAAAAATAACAACATCAAAACATAGATTAATATCTCAGAATATCACCATGATACAAAAGAGTTCAAAGGAAGTGTACCGAATCCTAAGATAATGAAGTTAATCACTCATGTTGGCCATTATAATGCTTTAATTGATGAAGAAGTGAAGAATTGATGAAGATTAGACGAAACCCTAACAGTAGTCGTGCCTCCTCTTCTCTAAGAATGCTTGTTTTTCTCAAAACACAACTTATTTTTTTATAAGAGAATTTAGGTTGGGCTTCACATCTTTCATTCGCTTAAGCGTTCTTCTTTATTTTAATTTTACTCCAATTATGTTGATAATTGTGCTCCTTACTCTTATATCAAGGTATTCTCGAATTTATTCTTTTAAAATTAACATAAATTAAGTGGTTTCATAACAATTCAAGATATAATTATATCAACTTTTTACCATTTAGCACGTTATAACGTCTGGACCACAGTTGGGTGCCTTAAGAGCTCTGTCATTATCCAGCTGGGTGCCTTAAGAGCTCTGTCATTATCCAGCTTAGGATTGAGAAGCTAGTGTCAGTACCTGCCGCGAACATAACCTTTCAATTGTCAATTTCATTCTCTATGAACAGTGAAACTCCGCAAAAGAAAATAAATGTATTAATATGTGACCTAACTTTTGCTTAGGAAAGTGGTGTATAATAATATACAAGTTTTCTCAGTATTATTGCTCTAATTAAAAAATAAGTCATGGACATTCATAATAGGAATGATGATAAACATATATTCATTTTAATAGTTATTTATTAAATATATGTTAGATAAACGTTAAAGTGTAACACATTGTACTGATTTTACATACCAGGGTCAATGCCTTTATGGTTGTTCTATCAATATGGAACCCCGTGGTGTTTGTCTTTTGGATCCTTAACAAAATGTCCAGAAAATCAGTCTGGTCTTCACCTTTAACTTCATCCCGATCCCAATCACCATGTACCTCTATTGAGTATTTTGAAGAAGATTTATGGAGAAGAAGAATGAGTTCGACCGAAATAAGAATTAATATTATTTTTAACATAAAAGTTTAAGATCTTAAGTTAAGAATAATGTATGCTTACATGTTATTTAACTTTTACCCACACTTGGATTACAAAGCACTATCTCATTAGGGTGCTCATCAATAACTCCATCCAAAAATTCGTCAAAGTTGTTTTGCCACTCTCTCTGCCCTAACATATATTCCATTAACTCTTCCCAACCATTCAAGCAAAGGAATCACTACAAGAAAATAGTTTATTTTCGACGAATTTTTACCGATGGATTTGTAGTCGTTGGAAAATTAGTTATCACCGACGAATATAGAATATTTGTGGAATTTGGTCTTACTGACGAATATATCCATCGGTAAATTAATAATTGGTTACCGACGGATATATCTGTAGGTAAATTCGTCGGTAAATTAACAATTACTTACCGACGGATATATCTATCGGTAAATCCATCGGTAAATTAACAATTACTTACTGATGGATTGTCGTAAATTAACAATTACTTACCGATGGATATATCCGTTCGGTAAATTAACAATTAATTACCGACGGATATATCTGTCGGTAAATCCGTCGGTAAAATAACAATTACTTATCGACGGATATATTCGATCAAGTAAAATTATATAATAATTACTTAATTTTAAATATATTCTAATAAATTAATTATTCACCTAATTAAAAAATTAAATATTTTTTCTATTTAATAAGTTAATTTAATCATAATTAGATTAATTTATAATAATTTATTAAATTAAATAATTTTAAAAAATAAATATTTAATTATATATAAATATACAAATATATAAATATACAAATATAAAAATATATAAATATATAAATATATAAAAATATATAAATATACAAAAATATATAAATATACAAATATATAAATATACAAATATATAAATATAATTTATTGTAAACCATAATAAAAAAAAATTAGTAGTGGTTGAAATATCAGCTCTCCAAATCTAAGGTACTGGGTTTGAATCCAACTTCTAAAAATATAAAAGAGGGGAAATGGGAGGGGTTAAGCATGACAACAAGAGGGGTTTGCAACCATCCCGCCCCGATCCCCACTGGATTTCGGGTTCCCCATCCCGTCCCCGATCTATATTATTTTTAAAAATATAATTATATTTATAATAAATTAATTTTATTATTATTTATTTATAAACAAATATTTATAATTTTATAATTTATAATAATTATTAATTAAATATATATTTTAATTTATTGTATTTATATTAAAATATGTATGTAAAAAAATATTTAATTATTTTTTATTTATATATAGAGAGAATATTTATAACATTATTATTATTATTATTATTATATTATTCAAATATTTGAATATTTATAACATTATTATTATAATATTGTATTCAAACATTTAATTATATACATAAGTTAATTCATTTTTAAGTTTTCATTTAAAAATATGAAATATATAGTTTATAAAAAAATATTTAATAAGTTAATTCTTATTTAATTAGTTCAAAATAATAAAAGTTTAAATTATCAATTTTTTCTAATCTTTTAAAATACAATTATTTTATTAAGATAAAATTTGATGTATGATAAATAAGAATAATAAGATAAAAAAAATATGACATAATAAAACCTAATAAATATAAATTATAAATAAAATAATATTAGTTACTACTAGGATTTATGTAAAATATTTAGAAAAAGATAAAGAAAAAAATTACTTTGTGTTCATCAAATTGATTGAAAAGATTAAAAAAATAAATAAATTGATGGGAGAAATTAAGGAAATGTAAAAAATAGAAAGATAAGAGAGAGAATAATGTAATAAATTAATTGATATAAAAGATTAAAAAGACAAAAAAATTAAAAGTGGTTAGAAGAAAAATAAAAATTGGTGAAATATTAAAAAAATAACTTTATATGTAATAGAAAAAGAAAAGAAAATACATTTAAAGTATTAATATTTTAAATTTTAAATTTAAATATAAAGTCGGGCTGGATTGCATTACCCATCCCCTCCCCGCCCCGACTTTTAAAGCGGGAAAACCCGAACCCGTCCCCGCCTCCGGTCAACTCGGGTTTTCCCGTCAAACTCGGGATGGAGACGGGTCGATCCCCACGGATACGAGTTTAATTGTCATCCCTATAGGGGTGTCTCTAGAAAAATAGGTTTTATAATAAATAAATAAAAAATATTTCCAATTTCCAAGAGCAACTGAAAGGAATATTGGGCCTATGTCATTCGTTGGTACTAATGAGGAGCCCATTGACAAAGTGCAAGATGATTACAACCCCAAGTACTACCACAGATTTTACTGTCGTCCTTCCAACGAGAGTCTCTCGTTAGCCAACTTACCTTTATAACGAGAGTTTGTAACGTTATACTCACGAGAGAGAGAGAATGTTAGTTGTAATAAATTGTGCCTATATAGAGCACCTCAAGATTGAGTAGTGGGAGAAAAAGAAAAATATCGAGTATTTTTTTTTGTTATTCTGTCTTTATGTTATTATTCAGGATTGAGCAGTGAGAGAAAAAGAAAAATATCGAGTATTCTCTTTCTATTATTCTGCCTTTCTGTTATTATTCTTCTTCTCTCTGATTTTTTCCTTTCATTTTAGTGCTTCAATTGCATCGAACTCCACCCACTATGGTCAACGCACCTGACCCATTTGATTTCCTTCATCGCAAATTAGAACAAATCTTACTCGCCCAAGCCAATTTTTCCAACACCCTCATGGACATTGCCAACCGCACCACCCACCTAGAAAACCAGATCTCCCTCCCCCCTCCACCACTCAGCTCCCACAAATCGATGAAACTCAACCTCCCATCCTTTGACAATATTGATCCTCTTGGCTGGATCTTCAAGGTGAACCATGTTAGAAATGTAGGCTGAGATCAAGAGGGGGGGGGGGTGAATTGATCTTTGAAAGATTTTCGCAAATTACAGATTATCTATTTCAAATATTAAGATTTCAGATCAGTTCTTGAATCACACACAACAAGCAATCAAAAATAAATGCAGTGACAGAATTAAAGGAGAGAAAGATTTAGAAAGATACAACCAAGGTTTATACTAGTTCACCCAATCCTAGGGCTACGTCCAGTCTCCAGCCAAATTCCAGCTAGGTTCCACTAGATTGAACGTTTTACAGATTACAAATCTTACACTCAATCTACCACAAGAACCACAATTCCAGTTCCTGCACCTACACCTTCACCAAGAACCAAATTTCAGTTCTTGACCAACCCTGCAGCCAAATTCTAGCTACAGAAACCAGTACCCACAATTCCAGGCACCCACAATACAGTAAAGAAAGAAAAGAAACAAAGAGAAGAAATTTAGAATGCTCAAACCAATTTTATGCAACTCTGCAGTATGAGTTTCTTCTCCAAAAGAATGCAATTTTGCCTCAAGAAAGAACTACTATGAACTTCACAAAAACTAGCGTGATTCTCTCTTGAAAGTAGCACTTATGCTTGCTTAATTGATTGCTAAAAGATGTTGGTTAAAAGGTTCAAGCAATTCTGTTTATATAGAAGATTTTCAAAACTGCTGGTTTATTTAATCTGTTAAAATAATTTTTTAATCTGTTAAAAGTCTTGTTTTAATCTGTTAAAACTTCTTTTAATCTATTAAAATGTTCTTGATTATTTTCCATATCTGTTTTAACCGATACGACAACGTTTATATCAATTAAAACCCTTTGTAAAAAATCTTCCAAACTATTTTAATCAATTGTTTCATCTTTCAATCGATTAAAATACTGCAAAACATTCTTATAAACTTTTTTAAGTGATTTTAACTGATAATAATCTGTTTTAATCGATTAAAACACTTTGAATAAAGTTCACTTAGTTATTTTAATCAATTGAAACGCATTTTAATCGATTAAAATTATTCTGATCGATCAAAAAATCATTATGATCGATCATAACCTCATTCTGATCGATCATATGCTGGACCAAGTGGTTTTAATCGATTGTTTCGAAGTTATATCGATTAAAATACTACCAGAACACTTCCTTGAACATTTTAAGTGATTTTAATCGATTTTTTCGAAACTATATCAGTTAAAATACTGATAGAAGGTTTTCAAAACATCTTCTAATGAAAACAATTGATTATTTTGAAAACATATCAGTTAAAAACCTGTTACAAAAGTGTTAAGAACATTTTAGTTGATAAAGCTTGTATACTATTTAGTTAAAATATTTAATTAAAAAACCTTTTATCAAAATACTTTGTTTTTAACCGTTTAATCGCTTTTTAGAGGCATTTTGCAAAATCTTTTAAATGAAGAAACTTCATGCAGCAGAGAGATAAAAATGATTAAACCTCAGCAGAGATGTAGACTCACTAATCTCACTACCCTTTTATCTAAGTGACCTTTGACTCGCCACAAAGTAGCCTTTGACTTCATTTTTTACTTCATCAAATCAACAAGATCTTTGCCAAAGTAATTCAATAAGATCTTCATCACTTTCAGTCTCCCCCTATTTGATGAAGACAAACACCTCTTTGAATAATAACTCTGCAGAAGAAGTCACTTGAATATATAGATTAGTAAGTATTCAAAAGATAATCATTTTCCCATTTCTCCCCCTATATTGCTACTCCCCCTAAATCAATTATAAAAGCAAAGCAATTATTTCTCCCCCTTTTGACTTCATCAAAAAATAAAGAACAGAGGAATAAAGCAAATACAATGCATGGCAAAAATTTAGTTTTTGAAAACAGTAAGAACAAGATACTTTACTCATATAAAGACCAATCAAAGTTGATTCAAACTTATCTTCATTAACACATTTGTAAAGAATGCAATTAACATGTGTAAAGATAAGGGAACCATGCTTTAGTAGCATGTTACAAGAACAACCATTAACTAAAGCTTTTAATTTTTCTTCCCAGAGTAATAATCGATTTAAAACAGGACAAAATCGATTAAAATGATCTTGTTACAAGTTTTAATCGATTAAAACAGTGATAAAATTCGAAAGTTGGAAACATAAGTTGATTTAATCGATTTAATCGACATTTAATCGATTAAAACAGTAAGCAAAATGTTGTATAAGTGCTTTTAATCGATTTAAAGCTTGTTTGTATCGATTAAAACAATCAGTTTTGAAAATTAAGTAATGTTTGATACATCTAAAATGCTTAATTCAGTGCGAATTTTGTAAAAACGATCACGAGCAAGAGGTTTTGTAAAAATATTTGCTAGTTGTTTTTCAGTTTCTATAAAGAAAATTTCACAATCACCTTTCAAAACATGATCTCTAATGAAATGATGTCTAATTTATATATGTTTTGTCCTAGAATGTTGAATTGGGTTTTTAGTTAACATAATGACACTTGTGTTATCACATAAGAGAGGAATTTTTCTGAGAATTAAACCATAATCCTCAAGTTGTTGTTTGATCCAAAGAGATTGAGCACAACAACTTCGAGCTGCAATATACTCGACTTTAGTTGTAGAAAGATCAACACATGATTGCTTTTTACTGTGCCAAGAGATTAGACTGCTTCCAAGGAGATGACAGGTGCCACTAGTGCTTTTCCTATCAAGCTTACAACCTGCAAAATCTGAGTCAGAGTATCCAATTAAATTTAGTTTGGACTCACCAGGATACCATAACCCAACATTTAAAGTTCCTTTGAGATATTTGAGGATTCTTTTTGCAGCAATAAGATGGGATTCTTTTGGTGCAGATTGAAACCTGACACACATACAAACACTAAACATAATGTCAGGTCTACTTGTTGTTAGATAAAGTAAAGAACCAATAAGTCCTCTATATTTAGTTTCATCAACAGCTTTCCCTTTTTTATCAGAATCAAGATAGCAATTTGTGGACATAGGTGTTGATGCTTCTTTGCAATGTTCCATCTCAAATTTCTTTAAAAGTTCTGTGCAGTATTTAGATTGATGAAGAAAACTTCCTTCTTGAAGTTGTTTAACTTGTAATCCAAGAAAGTAGTTGAGTTCCCCCATCATAGACATCTCAAATTCCCCCTGCATATCTTTGATAAAATCTTTACATAAAGACTCATTAGTGGCTCCAAATATGATGTCATCAACGTATACTTGAACCAAAATTATATCAATATTTAATTTCTTTAAGAATAAAGTTTTATCAACCAAACCTCTTTGATATCCCTTTGAAATGAGAAAAGTACTTAACCTTTCATACCATTGTCTTGGGGCTTGTTTGAGACCATACATAGCTTTCTTTAATCTGTAAACATATTCTAGATGAACATGATCTTCAAAACCAGGTGGTTATGTAACAAAAACTTCTTCATTCAAGTAGCCATTTAAGAAAGCACTTTTGACATCCATTTGAAATAACCTGAAACTTTTTTATTGAAGCATAAGCAAGTAAAAGTCTAACAGCTTCTAATCTAGCAACTGGAGCATATGTTTCATCAAAATCAATTCCTTCTTGCTGATTATACCCTTTAGCAACTAATCTGGCCTTGTTTCTAGTGATTATACCATTTTCATCCATTTTATTCCTAAAAACCCATTTTGTACCTACAATATTTGCATTATCTGGTTTTGGAATTAATTCCCATACTTCATTTCTTGTAAATTGATTTAATTCATCATGCATAGCATTAATCCAATTATTATCCTTTAATGCATCAGATATGGTTTTTGGTTCAATTTGTGATACAAATGCCATGTGATTGCACAATTTATTTAAAGATCTTCTAGTGGAAACTCCCTGATTTATTTCACCAATGATGTTGTCTATTGAAAGATTTCTTGGAGTCTTCCATTTTTTAGGCAGCTGCTCTTCAGTTTCTTCAATCTCTTCAACCTATTTTTGAGAAACTGTTGATTCTGGCAGTTTTAACTGATACATTTTATTAGTTAAAACATCATCTTCTGTACTATACTCAGAAATATTCTGCATACTTGGGTTAGTCTCATCAAATACAACATGGACAGATTCTTCTACAGTATTTAGCCTTTTGTTAAAGATTCTATAAGCATGGCTATTTAATGAATACCCCAAGAATATACCTTCATCTGATTTGGAATCAAACTTTCCAAGATTTTCTTTTCCATTGTTTAAAACAAAAACCTTACTTCCAAATACTCTAAAATAGTTTATGTTAGGCTTTTTATCTTTGAATAATTCATAGGGAGTTTTCTTAAGAAAAGGTCTGATTAAAACACGGTTTAATACATGGCAAGCAGTGCTAACGGCATCAGCCCAAAAATATTTTGGTAATGCTTTCTCATTAAGCATTGTCCTAGCTAGCTCTTCAAGAGAACGATTTTTCCTTTCAACTACACCATTCTGTTGAGGAGTTCTAGGAGCAGAAAAATTATGCTTAATACCATGTTTATCAAAAAATTTATTGAAATTTTCGTTTGAAAATTCTCCCTCATGATCACTTTGAATACAAGAGATAAAATAGCCTTTTTCATTTTGAATTTGTTTCGCAAATTTCTTAAACAAATGGAAAGTATCAAATTTTAATTTTAAAAATAATGTCCAGGTAAATCTTGAGTAATCATCAACTATAACCAGTGCATATAGATTTCCTCCTAAACTCATAGTTCTAGAAGGACCAAAGAGACCCATGTGCAAAAGTTCAAGAGGTCTAGATGTTGAAACAATATTTTTCTGTGAAAAAGAATTCCTTACTTGTTTCCCCTTTTGACATGCATCACATACTTTGTATTTCACAAACTTAAGTTTAGGTAAGCCAACTACAAGATCTTTAGAAATCAGTTTATTTAGATGATTCATATGAATATGAGCTAATCTCCTATGCCATAACCAGGAATCATTCTCTTTAGAAATTAAGCAACAGTTTTTAGCAGAATTAGTATCTAACATGTAAATATTGTTGATCCTCTTACCAAGAATCGATCA